TAAGTTAATTGGATTTTATAAATTATTTGAATATACTCAAAAAGTTTGAGAACTAAATATTATTCTAAAAAAATAAACAGAAAACGATAATAATGGTAGATTTACATTAATTTAAAATTAAATAATTATGAATCAGCATTCATTATACTGACATCATTTTGATGCGTATTAAATTCTGAATATTATTAGTAATAATGAATTGTGTTCGTTTTATATTAGAAAATATTAATTGATTGTAGCTATCTTTAATAAATTAATGATTACTTAAATCAATGAAGATTCTCCTTTAAAATAAGAAAAGAGGGAAAGGAAAAGGAAGCCAATAAAATATATTTAACTTTATAGATTTGCAAATCATATGGATTATTTATGGATAGTGATAAGTATATTAGGAGCAATAGGAAATGGTTTATCAATGCCAATTTATTCAATTATATTTGGGAACCTGACTGATTCTTTTGCTTATGAAGATGCTGATACAAAGTTGAATAAGGCAGTTTTGAACACTATGTAATAAGTTTTTTAGGTATAATAGTTACATGTTTGTATTGGGAGTTTGTACTCTTTTGGTGACTCTAATTATGTATACAACATTTTCAATAGCATCTGAAAATTAAAATAAAAGATTAAGAAAGTAATACTTAAAATCTCTTTTGACAAAAGAAGTGAAATGGTATGATGAGATAAATGCAAATGCTTTGAATACAAAAGTCAACTAAGAATTATTAGCAATTGCAGATGCAATAGGAGACAAAGTTATTACATTTGGATTTTCAATGGCAACATTCTTAAGTGGTTTTCTAGTCGGATATATTAAGTAGATAATTTTAAATGAATTATAATAGAGGATGGAAATTAGCTCTAGTGATTACATCTGCTTTACCTGTTCTAGCTATAACGATAGCACTTATTGGTATTTCAGCATCGTGGAGAGAATAATTCATTTAAAAATCAGATATTGAATCCTCCTCATTAGTTGAAGAGGTAATTTTAAATTAATTTAAAATAAGGTATTAAGTTAAATTAAAACAGTAAAAACTCTAAATGGAGAAGATTTTGAGTTTGAAAGATTTAAAAGAATAATCATCAATTCTTCTAAATCTCTAATAAAATATGGATTGTATTATGGATTAGCCTTTGGATCAATGTTGGGAATATAACAATTTACTTATGCTTTAGGCATTTATTATAGTGGAGTTCTAGTAACTGAATAGGTAAGGAAATGTTAATATATTCTAAGATTGATCCTAACTATTCAGGACCTATTTATACTTCTGGAAGTATATGTACTATTTTCATATCTGTTTTGATGGGTAGTCTATCTTTAGGTAAAATTGGTCCTTGTTTATCAAGTTTTGCAAAAGGGAAGTTAGCTGCTGCAGAAGTATTTCAGATTATTGATGAAAGTGATAGATGTGAATTATAAAGAAATTAAATAATTAAAGAAAGTCTTGAAGGTGATATCAAAATTTAAAATATATCATTTAGTTATCCTACAAAATTAGACCATATTGTATTAAAAAATATTTCATTTGTCATACCAGAAGGAAAGAAAATAGCTTTAGTAGGGGAAAGTGGTTCAGGAAAATCAACAATTGGATAGCTTTTATTAAAATTTTATTAAATTGATATAGGTTAAATATTAGTAGGTAATAATGAAATACCTTTGAATTAAATTGATAGAGATTAATTCAGAGAGTAAATCTCTATTGTATCATAAGAACCTGTATTATTTAATACTACTATTCGAGAAAATCTTAAATTAGGTAATCAAAATGCATCAGATGAAGAATTGATAAATATGTTGAATCTTATGAATTCATCAGAATTAATAGATCATTTAGATACAAATGTTGGATTTAATGGAAATTAATTTAGTGGAGGTTAAAAATAAAGAATTGCTTTAGCTAGAGCCTTACTTTAGAATCCTAAAATTTTAATTTTAGATGAAGCTACAAGTGCTTTAGATAGAACTAATGAATAATAAATAACAAAAATTATAGATGAAAAATTCAATAAAACTACAAGAATTGTTATTGCTCATAGATTATCTACTGTATAAGATAGTGATAAAATTATTGTCTTTAATAAAGGAGAAATAATAGGATAAGGAACACATGAAGAATTAATTAAAAATTGTGAACATTACTCTTATTTAATATCAAAATAATAAAGAAAAGAAGAAAATACCATAGGAACTTTAACTTCTTTAGAAATGGAAACTTAAAGGAAGATAACTGCAAGATCACTGACTAAAACCAATATTTAAGAAATTAATTAATTTGATAAGGCTAAAATATAGAATTAAAATAATTAGAATGAAAAAAAATTATTGTTTGGAAAAGATTTCAATAAATCTGAATTAACAGATAATAATAGATTTGAAATGTCATTTTGGAGAAGTATTTACAAATTATTAATTTTAAATTATAAAGAAATGCCATATTTAATTGTTGGATGTGTTTCAGGCTTAGCAAATGGATCAATTTTCCCTATTTTTTCCTAAATTTTAGCTGACGTTATAGATATTCTTTTAATTCATAATCCTAATAGAGTTAATTCAATTTAAAATTAAGAAGAAAGATAATAATAAATAGATGCTCTTAATGATACTATTATTAAAAGCTCTATTATATTACTCATTATAGGATTTACATATTTTGTTACAAGTACTTTAGAATGTTTTTGTTTCAGTGTTTATTCTGAACGCTTAACAATCAGAATGAAATATGAAATATATTAAAAATTCTTGAGACTTCCTATAAGTTTTTATGATTAATAAAATAATAATATAGGTTTCTTAACTCCTAAAGTAACAACAGATATAAGACTGATTTAGTAATTCTTTTAAAATATTATTGGATTTAAATGCCAATATTATTCTGCTATCATAGTAGGATTTGCTTTATCATTTGCAGCATCATGGAAATTAACTCTTTTAGCTGTTGGTTTAGCTCCAATATCTTATATAGGTGGGCGTTTAAGTGAGAAATATGTAATTGGTTCTTAATAATCTTTTGCTCAAAAAGCTTATATTAATAGTAACAAATTATTGATGGATACCTTAACAAATATTAGAACAGTTTATTCATTAAGAGCAGAAAACTTTATTGTTAATTAATATACTAAACTTTTAGAGGAACCTTCAAAATAAGTCAAGAAATTTGGTGCTTAAATTGGTTTCAGTTCAGGTTATGCTTAGATGAAACCATTTTTTGTAAATGGATATTTATTTTTAATGGGAACACTTTTAACTATTTATGATGATCTCTCAATTTTAGCTATTTATTAAACTATTTTAGCAATTATTTTCTCTGTTATTGGAGGAGCTAAAACTATCTATTTTTAATCAGATAATAATAAAACTAAAAATTCAATTTCTTATTATTTTAGTCTTCTGGAATTTGAAGATGAATTTTAAAAATAGGAAAAATCTAAATCTCCCAAAATATAAAAAGATATATATGGAAATATTGAATTCAAAAATGTAACTTTTTATTATCCTTAAAGACCAAATATTCTTGTCTTCAATAATTTATCTTTTAAAATTGATGCAGGTCATAATGTAGGATTAGTTGGATGTTCTGGTTGTGGTAAATCAACTATTTTTTAACTCCTTTTTAGACTTTATGATATTAATTCTGGAGATATTATATTAGATGGTTTATCAATTTATGATTATGACCTTAAATTTCTTAGATAATAAATCTCTATTGTTTCTTAAGAACCTTAATTATTTAATGAGTCGATTGCATACAATATAAGATATAATTTAAAAAATATTAATCAAAATGATATTATTTAAGTGTCAAAATAATCACTAGCTTATGAATTTATAATGTAAGAATAATGTGAAGATTAAACAAATTCAGGATTTAATAAAAAAGTTGGAACGAAAGGTACTTTAATATCTGGAGGTTAAAAGTAAAGGATTGCTATTTCTAGAGCTTTATTAAGAAATTCTAAAATATATTTGTTTGATGAATCTACCAGTGCTTTAGATTCAAATGTTGAATCTTTAGTATAGTAATAGTTAGAACAATGCTTAAAGGATAAAACTTCTATTATTATTGCTCATCGGATGTCTACTATTAAAGTAATCATATATTTTATTTTAGAATTGTAAAATAATATATGTATTTGATAAAGGTTAAATTATTGAATAAGGCAATTATAATTATTTACTCAGCATAAAAGGCCATTTTTTTAGACTCGAATAAGGACTTTTAAATTAAAATTTAGAAAATAAAATAACTTCCCATGAATTATTAGATGAATGATTTTATGTGTTTTTTATAGTAAAGAATAAGTTAAATTAAAATTTTCAAATTACTA